AAAGGCAGTCAATTGTGTGGATCATAACAAATTATGGATAGCATTGCAAAGAATGGGGATTCTAAAACATTTAATTATACTCATGCAGCATCTGTACACAGACCAAGAAGTGCTTGTTTGAAAAGACCTGGGGGCTATTGAATAGTTCAAAATCAGGATAGATGAGCATCAGGGTTGTATCCTTTCACCATCCTTATTCAATGTATAAACTGAGCAAGTAATCTAAGAAGTTGAAAAAGAATGAAGCATCAGAATTGGAGGGCAACTCTTTAAAAATCTGCAATATAAAAATGATGTAACTTTGCTTGCTGAAAACAAACAGGATTTGAAATACTTACTGATGAAGATCAAAGAACACAACCTTCAGTATGGATTACACCTCAACATAAAGACAACAAAAACCCTCACAAGTGCAGGAAAGACAGGAGTTGTCAAGGATTTCATTGTACTTGTATCCACAATCAATGTCCATGGAAACAGCAGTCAAGAAATCAACCAATTTTGTATTAGGCAAATCTGCTGCAAAAGACCTGTTTAAAGTTCATAAGCAAAGATGTCACTTTGAGGACTAAGGTGTACTTGACACAAGCCAAGGTATTTTCAATCACTTTATATGCATGGGAAAGCTGAGCAATGAATTAAGGAAGACTTAAGAAGAATAGATGTCTGAATTATGATGTTAGAGAAGACTAATAAGCATGCCATGGACCGTCCAAAGGACGAACAAATCTGTCTTAGAAGACATGCAGCCAGAATGCTCCTTACAAATGATGCTAAGACTTTATGCCACATACTCAGGACATGTTACCAGTCTCTGGAGAAGAACATCTTGCTTGGTAAAGCAGAACGTCAAGGAAAAAGAGTAAGACCCTCAATAAGATAGATGGACAGAGTGACTGCAGCTGTGGCTTCATTGTGAGGATGGTGCAGGACCAGGCAGTGTTGCATTCTGTTGTTGTACGCAGGTTTGCTATCGATCAGAACCTACTCAACGGTGCCCAACAACAACAGCAGAACAGAGTAGAATTGCTCTGTAGGGTTTCCCAGAATGCGGAAATCATTGGACAATATCACTTAATATCACATGCAAGTACAATTTTGCTAAAGATAATATAAAAATGGCTGCAAACACAAAGAACTACCAGAGGTTCGAGCTGGACTCAGACAAGGATATGGAATGAGGCCCATCATTGCTGATGTCAGATGGATCTTGGCTGAAAACAGAGAATACCAGAAAGATGTTTGCCTGTATTTTATTGACTATACAAAGGCTTTCCATTGTGTGGATCATGACAAGCTATGGACAACATGGCAGAGAATGAGTGTTCTGGAACACTTAATTGTGCTCATGAGGAACCTGTACATAGACCAAGAGGCAATCATTCGAACAGAATAAAGAACCACTGAATGATTTAAAATCTGGGAAGATGTGCGCCAGGGTTATATTCTTTCACCATATTTATTTTATCTGTATGCTGAGCAAATAATCTGAAAAACTGGATTATGTGAAGAAGGATGTGGCATCAAGATTGGAGGAAGACTCATTAACATATGCAGATGATGCTACCTTGCTTTCGAAGAGGACTTAAACTATTGATGAGGATCAGAGACCACATCCTTCAGTATGGGTTGCACCTCAATGTAAAGAAAACAAAAATCCTCACCACTGGACCAATAAATAATGTCAAGATAAATAGAGACTAAATTGAAGTTGTCAAAGGCTTCATTTTGCTTGGATCCACTAACAACACTCATTGAAGCAGCAGTCAAGAAATCAAACAACATGTTGCATTAGGCAAAAAAGATCAATTTGAGGACTAAGGTGTGCCTGACCCAAGCCATGGTATTTTCAGTAGCCTCATATGCATGCAGCTCTGGTAGCGTAGTGGTTACGAATCAGGCTGCAAACCTTAAGGTCAGTGGTTCGAAACTACCAGCCGCTCCGCGGGAGAAAGATGAGGCTTTCTACTCCCATAAGGATTTACACCCTTGGAAACCCTGTACAGGGTCGCTATGGGTCGGGACCAACTCGAAGGCACTTCACAACAACAACAACATATGCATGTGAAAGTTGGACAATGAGTAAAGAAGACTATAGAAGAATTGATGCATTTCAGTTATAGTGTTGTGACCTGCCAGAAGAACTAATACATATGTGTTGGAAGAAATATAGTCAGAATATTCGTTAGAGGCTAGTATGGCAAGACCTCATTTCTCATACTTCAGACATATTATCAGGAGGGACCAATCCCTGGGGAAAGAAATCATGTTTGGTATAGTGGAGGGTCAGTGAAAAGAGGAAAACCCCAAACAAGATGTATTAGCACAGTGGTAGCAGCAACGGACTCAAGCATAACAATGGTTGTGAAGTTGGGGCAGGACCAGGCAGTGTTTCGTTCTGTTGTGCATAAGGTTACTATGAGTCAGACCCAACTTTTGTGATAGCACCTAACAACACCATCAATCTTTATGGAATCAAACTGCCATCTTTTTCTCCTGAAGATCAACTTGTGGGTTTGAACCACTGACCTTTCAGTTAACCAAGAATTGCCCATAGAGTTTCTAACGCTGTAAATCTTTACAGAAGCAGATTGCTACATATTTCTTCAGCAGACCTTTCAAATACCGGCCAAGCACTCAATCACTGTGGCAACAGGCCTCCTTCTATTAGCCATTGTTGTTGTGTGCCATAGAGTCGTTTCTGACTCATAAGGACACTGTATAGGGTTTGAATGGCTGGACCAATGTTTACTCTAGAGAGTCACACCAGGGAGAGGTACAAATCAAAACTGCAATGAGATATTATCTCAACTCCATTAGAATGGCCAGAGAAACAAACAAATACTGCTGAGGTGGAGAAATTGGGACCATCATTCATTGCTGGTGAGAAAGTAAAGTGGCACTGTCATTGTGAGATATCGTTTGGCAGTTCCTTAAAAAGTTGTCATGTTGGAGAGATGGAGATGGTGCGTCTGGGGACTTTAGACCTAGAGAGGGAGAGGGGCTGTGTGCTGACAACCTGGGGGGGGTGGGGTGGAGGGAGGGTAGGGCAGGCTTGCGGAGTATACCCTTTGGTTGGTTGATGATGCATGGAGGGGATTGTAACCATGGCAATGAAACAATATACAATAGGATGAATATAAAGCTAATGTTCTCCCATGTAAACTATCATATAATTCACAATAAAACATTTAAAAAAATTGTCATGTGACTCAGAATTGTCATATGACTCAGCAATCCCAATCTTATGTGTATTTATATACTCTGAAGAAATGAAAGCAGGCTTCAACCTGTGTACCAATGTTCATGACAGCACTTTTCACAATAGCCAAATGGTGGAAACTGCCAAAATGTCCATCAGCAGACGAATGGCTAAACAAAATGTAGCATATCCATACAATGGAATACTATTCAGTCATAAAGAGAAATGGCATCTTGATACATGCCACAGCATGGATTAATCTTGAAGATGTCATGCTGAGCGAAATAACTTACGCAAAGGACAAATACTATATGATCTCATTTATATAAGATAAGCAAATATATAGAAACCAAAGATTATTAGGCGCTAGCATTGCTGGTTAAGAATGTAAAACAGTATAACTACTGTGTTGTTGTTGTTGTTGTTAAGTGCCGTCGAGTCGGTTCTGACCCATAGTGACCCTGATTAGGGTTTCTGAGGAGCAGCTGGTGAACTTGAACCACCAACTTTGCAGTTCAAACGACTTTGCAGTCTGGCGCATTAACCCACAGCGCCACACCAGGACTCACTGCAAACTTTATGGACTCAGACTGCCACAACTTTCTCCTGTGGATTGACTGGTGGGTTTGAGGACAGGAGGAGGAGATTTTGCTTAGAGAACATGTTAATGGTGATGGAACATTTTGGCAAATAATAACAAGAATGGTTGCACAACATAAAGAATATAATCAATATGTTGCTGTTGCTGTTGCTAGCTGCTACTGAGTTGGTTCCAACTCTTGGTGACCCCATGTGTGCAGGGTAGAACTGCTCTGTCGAGTTTTTAAGGTTATGATCTTTTGGAAGTACCAGGCCTGTCTTCCAAGGTACGTCTGGTACCACCAACGTTTTGGCTAGTGGCTAGTAGTAGAACACTTAACTGTACCATCCAGGGACTCCTAGAAATTGTAGCTTGGAGAATATTGTGTATATTTTCACCACAATTTGAAAAAAATTAACCCAACCACCAACTCAACACCCAGAAACCTACTACAACCCACTGAACCATTTTGTATTAACTCAACTATAACCTAATACTAAATGCCAACGATAGCTATTTATCTTTCAATACCACCCAAATTACCTACCACTCAATATCAGCATCTATTTAAGAGTGCCTTACAACTCAATACCCACTCAGACCACCCTGACCTCAACACTACACAACACCTCCCAATTCTCAGTATTAAATCACTGAGCACTTAGCGCTACTCAACCTCTACTCACCTAACACCCGTCACCACACTCTGCTAGTAAAAATTTGATTCCACTCAACATCACCCACCATTAATTTCCAACTTCCATTGCACACTCCATGGAAGAAAGATGGGGCATTTTGCTTCCACAGATTTACAGCTTCAAAAACCCTATAGAAAGCTTCTACTCTGTCCTATCGGGTTACCATGAGTTGCAATTGACTAAACAGCCATGGATTTGGTTGCTGTTCGGTCTTTTTTCTATTCAGTACCATCTAGTATTAGCCTGAGCATAGTCCTATCAATCAATGAAACATCATTTAGTTGGAAACAGCATTTCCATAGCTATCCACAACTCTCACTTCCTACCTCTGGTTACTAGTCTGCACCATCATCATCCTGTGTCCTCCTTGAGTATCCTCACATACCCCATGCCCACTTCTCCACACTATCACACTCTAGTGTTCATGATCAACTGCCCTTCCTCCCCCAGCTATCTCCATCCCCACTGTCATGCCCACCGCTGCCCACTGCATGCCCCACCCATACCTTCCCATGCCTACCTTGTCTGGGTCATAAGCCACCAGGGTGAGATTGTCAATGGGGATGCGGGCTGAGGCATGCTCATACACAGAGCCAATGAAGTTGACTTGGGCCTCTTGGGGTGTGAAGATGCAGTTTGGAAGAGTACAGTTGTAAAACTCAGGTTTGTGGTCATTCACGTCTGTTACCCTCAATGTGACCCATATGCTAGCCTTGTCGTGCTGCCCATAGATATTGGGGTTCTTCTCAGTGGCCTGAGAGAACAGAGAGAAGCAGTGCTTAGGGAGAACTGAGATTAAAGGAAATAAGGGTCTAGCAGGGGCCGTGAAATCCTCACTCACCGTGACCTGCACCTGCACCTCCTCGTCCTCATCCAGTAGCTGCTCACGGTCTAGGGAATTGTTGACTATAATGATCCCATCATTCTTAATGCCAAACCATCCTGGCCTTGTGGAGTCTGGTGAGAAGACAGGCAGAACAGCTGCTTCCAGTGGCTCTGAAGAAACCCCACCCTGCCCCTTGCCCAAGCTCCCAGGTCCTCACTGGAGATGTTGTAGGTCACCATGTCACCGATGCCTTTGTCTCCATCTATGGCCTCCACCTTCAGCACAGAGGTTCCCTGGAAGGAGGCATGGTCAGGGCCTGCACCCTTTTCTCTGTCAACCAAGACCCCTCCAGTTCCCCCTGCATACCTGGGGTGCATCCTCAGGCACAGAGGCCATGTAAAAATCCCTGACAAACTGGGGACTCAGGTCAGGCTGGTCAATCACTGAGATGGACAGGAAGACATTGGGGGAGCACAGGACGGTAGAGTTGTCCTTGCCATTTTCACCTGAGTCCTGAGGGGAGATAGGTCTTCTGTGACCCAGTCCTGAGGGTCTCCATGCTCCTCCAACCCCACTTGTGGTTTGTCACCCTACTCACGCAAGCCTTCAGCTCCAGCTGATAGAAGGCGCTCTTGTTGTTGTAGCTGAGCTGTCCATTGAGGATGATGGAGCCATTGTCCAGAATCTTGAAGAGGCGCTGGTTGTCTGCAGTGTCAGGTAGGACCTGGGACGAGTCCATTCAGATCAGGCTCCCACCGGGCAGATTGCCCCTGAGGGCCCCAGAATTGAGAGACCTGGGTTCAAATCCAGATTCTGCCATATGATCTTAACTAAGTCATGTAACCTCTCTGAGCTTCTGGGAAGTGAGGCTCAGGATATCACTTCAATGTATTGTGAGGAGTATTCATTGAGATGACGTATGGATAAGGCATGTGCGTGTAAATGGGAGTTGTAACCAGTATATTTGTCATCATGACAGCTGGGTTCAGACACCTCTTGAACCTCTTGGAGCCTCTTCTGTGAAGCTGGAAGTGTGCCCTACCTGGTGATGTGACTCTAGGCTTCATCATGGGCCTAGAGAGTGCTGGGGGAAGACAGTGGGGAGAAAAGTCCGTTCCACAGTGGGAAACCTCCTTAGGAAAGTGATGTTCAGATGGGGTCAGAGGCAGGCTTATCCCCAAGGGCTGCACCATCTCAGACACACTACTCACCTCTACGCACAAGGGCTTTTTGGTTGTCTGGGGAGATGCTGCCCCCTGGTGGCCACCTTCTCTCACACATTTTCACACTCACCTTCTCTATGAAGTACACCACCAAGCCACCATATCCCGTGTCTTTGTCAACAGCCTTCACAGTAGTCACCACGGAGTTAACTGGCAGAGTCTGTAAGAAGAGACTTGTCACCTGTGAGTCCAAATTCACTTCCTCTCCCTAATATGTCACCTCCTTCTTTGAGCCCGTTTCTTCAACTGTGCCACAGGGAAGGTGGTAGTGCTTCATAGGGTCTGAAGCACAGGCAGCCCACAATTACTGCCCTGACCTCCTGACTGGATGGCGTCTCTGGAGACAGTTGTGCAGGGAGCAGGGTCCTCAGCTTTTCTCCCCACGAAGCCTCACAACCCACCTGGTCTGGTTTCTGTTTTGCAAGCCTCTCAGAATCCAGATAAGAGATCATTCCAACCAAACCTAGCTCAACAGTGCCAAACACTCTTGCGGACTCTCTGTTGGTGACAGAATTGGTTTCAAACAGCACCCTGTAGAGCTGGAAGACCTTTTCAGAAGGTCTTTGCCTTGAGAGCCTTCCCTGCAATTCCTGCCCACAGTCTTATTGCTTATTTATGGTGGCCAAAGGGATCTTTTAAAATCTTGAACTTGGCTGCATCATTTTTATATTTAAATCAATGACTATCTATTATTCCCAGATTATGGTCAGATTGCACCCATGGCCCCTATGCTCTAACCCCACCTCTTCCACACCCTCTGCCCTCCAGTCACACTGGCCTCCTGGCTATACCTAGAACACTCAGCCTGGAGCTGGCCCCTTCTTGCCATTCAGGTCTCTGCTTAGATACCATCTACTCAGAAAAGCCTTTTCTGTTTATCCAACCTAAAGTGGCCTCCACCCCAGTCACTCTCTGTCACTTTACCCTATTTTATGTTCTTCATAGAACTCAGGACTTCTTGTGTAGTACTGTAGGATCAGCATTAGACTGTAAGCCACAAGGTCGGCAGTTCAAACCTACCACTTGCTCCTCAGAAACCCTATACAGGGTCGCTATGAGTCAGAACTGACTCAACGGCACTTAATAACAACATAGAACTCAAAACCATCTGAAAGAATCCCGTTTATTCTATATTTCAAGGAGCTCTGGTAGTGTGCTGTGTTACGTGTTGGGTTGCCAACCAAAAGGTCAGAAGTTTGAATTCACCAGCTGCTCCATGGGAGAAAGAAGAGACTTTCTGCTCCTGTAAATATTTATAACCTCATACACTTTCTCTATAGGGTCCCTGAGTTAGACCCAACTTGATGGCACACAGCCACCACCATTCTATGTTTCATTGAATATTGTCTTTATTCACTAGAAAATGAGCTGCTGAAGGCAATGGGTAGGTCTGTCTTGTTCTTCATGTATCTTCAGCACCCAGGACAGTGCCAGGCACATAGTAGGCTCCCCATTAGAATCTGTGGAATGACTGTTTGAACCTCACCAGCCTCATCTCTGGCCTAGTGTGAGGCCTTCCACACCACAAAACAATGACAATTCAAATGTAGTTTGTTGTGTTTGCTGCCTGGCAATCTTTAGGAAGCTCCCCATTTCTGGCCTCCTGCCATGAAGGACAAGGCAATTGCCTCATTTTGCTAGAAGAGAAAACCCGTGATGCAAACCTAGCCAATCAGATCATTCCATACACCCAGATTGGTCCAAGGATGTGCCCATGATCCAAAATGGGCCAGTGGAGCCACTCAATTGTTGTTAAGTACCATGGAGTCAGTTCCTACTTATAGTGACCCTGCATAGGGTTTCCGAGACTCTAAATCTTTACAGGAGCAGAACGCCTCATCTTTCTTCCATGGAACCACTGGTAGTTTCAAACTGCTGACCTTGAGGTTGGCAGCCCGACTCATAACCACTACGCTACCAGAGCTCCTTTAATAGGAAGAGATCATTTCTTTCTGTGAAGCTGCAAAGTTGGTGGGACATTTTTAACACCAGATGGGAAAACCATGCTCTTTCATCAAGCCCCAGGATGGAGGCAGCAAGAGAAGCAGAGCTGAGAGGTAGAGAAAAACATCTTGATGACATGGTTTGAGCACCTGGATCCAGCTATGCCTGAAGTCAGAGTATCTCTAAATTTTCTCAACACATGAGATTATAAGTTCCTTTCTTTTTTAAAAATCTCTTTTGCTTTCACGATTGAAAGCATTCCAATCCAGTCTGATTGATCACCTAATATTTATTACTGTAAAAATTATTCTTAGATCATCTTCCTCTGAATTTTTTTCCTGCAACTGCCCCTTCTAGAAGGTGCTTTTTCCAGTCCTGGATCCTTTAATGCCTGCCTCTGATCCTTATCACTCAGAAGTGCTTCCAGTATGACCTCCCCTCACTCCACAACACACATATTTAACACACATGTTACCTCATTGATGCTGATGGAGAAGTTGATGTCCTGGAAGACAGGAGCATTGTCATTTCTGTCTTCCACAAGTACCAGCATAGTTTTCTGCACCTGCAGGTGGGAAAGCCCTGGTAAGTCAGGAAAACATGACTTCTTGAGAAAACCAAGCAGGAGCATATGGCAGAGTGCACGTTGGCAAAGGAGCTAAGTAAGTCAATTGTTGTTGTTGTTAAGTGCCATAGAGTTGGTTTCGACTTATAGCAACCCTGTCTAGGGTTTCGGAGGCTGCTAATCTTTAAGGAAGCAGAAAGTCTCATCTTTCTCCCATGGAGCAATTGGTAGATTTGAACTATTGACCTTGCAGTTACCAGCCCAGCTTGTAATCCACTATGCTACCAGGGCTCCTTCAAGAAGACGTTGTTGTTGATGTTAAGTGTTGTCGAGTCAGTTCCGACTCATAACAATCCTGTATAGGGGTTCATAGGAGTTGCTGGTGAGTTTGAACCACTGACCTTGTGGTTCATCCTGATCTTGTGATCCAGTGTTTATCCCACAGTGCCACACCAGGAAGACAATTGGCATTGTTTAATCAGTTGTCATCTCATGAATCTACAAATGTGTCTCCTTTTCCATCTCTTCCATAGCTTCATCACTTGCTATTGATGTTACTTTAGTACTTCTCAGAGCAATCTCTTGAACAGACTGGTGTGTGTCCTCTTCCCTTTTCTGGATACATTATGTTGTTGATCCATTAGCATTGACCTCAAGACCAACAGTAGTATAACTCATGCCTCAACAAAACTTACTAACACACAAAAGGAACACTACATAGCACTTCATCGCTACACTAGGGGCCATATGAAATGGTAAAATCACCAACCAAAAGCACAACAAAGACCAGAAAAAATGACAACTCATAGACCTCAAAAAGAATACTTCCTTACTGTCTAAGAACTTAAGCAAGAAAGCAACTTTGCCTTGTTCTACTTCAGCTGGGAACATGCACGTTGAATGATTCCATTTCTGACACTCTTTGTTGTCGTTAGGTGCCATCAAGTCAGCACCAACTCATAGCGACCCTATGCACAACATAACGAAACACTGCCTGGCCCTGAACCAATATCACATCGTTGCTATGCTTGAGCCCATTGCTGCTGCCACTGTGCCATTTCACCTAGTTGGGGGTCTTCCTCTTTATCTCCACTTCTCTAGGGACTTGTCCCTTCTGATAATATGTCCGAAGTATGAGAGTTGAAATCTGGCCATCTTGGCCTCTAAGGAGCATTCTAGTTGTACTTCTTCCAACACAGATCTGTTTGTTCTTTTGGCACTCTTTGGGACTTTCAATATTCTCCTCCAACACTATAACCCAAATGCATCAATTCTTTTATGGTCTTCCCTATTCACTGTGCAACTTTCGCAAGCATATGAGGCTATTGAAAATACCATAGCTTGGATCAGGTGCACCTTTGACCTCAAACTGACATCTTTGCTCTCAACACTTAAAGAGTCTTGTGCAGCAGATTTGCCTAATGCAATACATCGTTTGATTTCTTGACTGCTTCTTCCATGAGTGTTGATGGTTGATCCAAGAAAAATGAAGTCTTTGAAATTTCACTCTTTCTCTATTTATATGGATATTGTTTATTGATCCAGTAGTGAGGATTTTTGTTTTCTTTACACTGAGGTACAACCCATACTGAAGGTTGTGGTCTTTGATCTTCATCAGCATTTTAAGTCCTCTTTGCTTTCAGCAAGCAAGGTTGTATCATCTGCGTATTGCAGATTGTTAATGTATCCTCCTTCAATCCTGATTCCACATTCTTCTTCAAATAATCCAGCTGCTCAGATTATTTGCTAAGCATACAGATTGAATAAGTATGGTGAAAGAATACAGCCCTGGTGCACACCTTTCCAAATTTTAAGCCAATGGTGTTCCCTTATTCTAGTCAAACAACTACCTTTTGGTCTATGTACAGATTCCTCATGAGCACAATTAAGTGTTCTGGAATATTTGCAACTTTGCATTGCAACTCTTTACATGTCCACAAATAACCATAAGCAAAAATAAATTTTAGCTGAGTATGGAAAATCATAAATGAGTACAGAACCCAAGAATTATGAGGACCGACTGTCATTTCAAACTCCAGAAAAGTTGCAAATACAAAACAAGTAATTCCTGAGTATCTTCATCCAAAATCACCAGTTGATAATACTTGCCACATTTGGTTTCTTCTCTTTCCATATTTTTTTTCTGAACCATTGGGAAGTAAGTTATGTTGTTGTTGTTAGGTGCCATCAAGTCGGCACTGACTCATAGCAACCTTATGCACAGCAGAATGAAACACCGCCCGATCCTGGGCCAACCTCACTACTGTTGCCACGCTTGATTTCATTGATGCTGCCATTTGGCCAATCCATCTCATTGGGGGTCTTCCTCTTCTTTTCTGACCCTCCACCTTACCAAACATGATATACTTCTCCAGCGACTGGTCCCTCCTGACAATATGTCCGAAGTTATAGTCATCATTAAACAATCTGGTTTTTTAATGGAAAAGGTGCCTGTCCCATAGCATGAATGTTCCTTATAGTTTTGTTTGTCCTGATGCAATGCTGTGAATAACCCTAGTATCTGTCAGTTGGAAAACCATGGCATTAAAATGCAAACATTAGAAGAAACAAGGTGAACTCATGTGTGCAGACGTGGAAAGATCGCCAAGACAACTGTTGGAGTGGGCAAGACAGGTTCGAGACAAAATGAATGACTTGTACAATAGAGTTCCATCTGGGTTTCAGAAAATGATTTTTCTTCTGGGGATGCATGTATGTATCTAGATGTTAACAAGAGGTATTAAAGAACACAGGAACAGTGGACACTTTGAGAATGGGAGTGAGAGGGGAGCTTTGTCAAAGGGGACTTTATGTGCAAAGTTTGAAATGTTCACAAAGAATTATACTGAATATCCAAATATAATTAAAACTATATTTGATTTGTGACAACATGTGTTGGAATCCTAACCTATATACCGGTGGATAAAATGCAGGTTGGAAATAGGGATTTCTTTGTTAGGTTAATTTGATCCTACTCAAGTAGGGGAAAGAGAAAAAACTAATTTCCTTTAAGTAAATCCCAATTCATGGTGGCCTGTGTGTGTCACGGTATAACCGTGTTCCAAACGGTTTTTCAGTGACTAATTTTTCAGCAGTAGGTTGCCTGGTCTTTCTTTCAAGGTATTGGTTTAAAATGTCAACTTTCTGGTTAATAGTGTCACCCAGGGACTCCTTACCTGATTCTAACTCGAATCACTTTTGTGTTATTAAAAAAAGTAAATTACAGAGACTTCTGTCAAGATGGCAGTCTAGGCCAAATGAGAGAGCAAATGAAACAGACACTGATGAAAACCCTGGAGCCCTGAACTTCAGAGGAAAGGTTAGAGACGTGGCTTTGAGAGTTTTCTGGGAGGAGAAGCTGAGCAGGGGTGGTGAGAGAGGGAGAATGGTAAACAGCCAGCCAGACAGAGTATGACCATGTTGAACCTTCATGAGCAGCTTTGGTGACAGAAAGCGGCCCTGGTGACCAGAGTTGTGGCCAATTCCCACCTTAATCCACCCCCAATGCAGGCCTTGCTCTCTGAGGGTTCGGAGCAGCATGGTTGTAACCCACACTAGTGTGAGGCAAGGGCCAACTGAGCCACTTTGGTGCCTGAATTCAGGCAGGCCCAGCTCAAAACCTGAAGAGCCGCCAGACCAGCATTATTAGCAACAACCCTCATAACCAGTCACCCTGTGCCCAGCTTCCTC